GGAGGAGGAGCGGGCAGGTCAGGCCAAACGCCGCCCTCCCCGCCTTCTGGGCGCGGGGCACCTGACCGAGCTGGAGGAAGAGGTTACCCTGAACTTGGCTTTAGGACCCCCAGCGGGGCTGCGGCTGGGAAGGAGGGCTGAAGTCACGGTGTGCCTGGAGAAAAACCGCAGGAGCAGGACCAGGCCTCGGGTGAGGCACAGTAGCAAATGGGACTCCTGGGGGTCCGCACAGAAAAACTAAGTAATCAAGATAAATGCTATTTAGTGCAATATTTAAAAAAACTCACAGTAGACAAGCTACGGTCTGTAGTCTGGTCGCCTGGTTTGTGAAGTTTATCTGGAGACACTGGGATGAGATTAGGGTGAGGCAAATGAATCAAGGTCATGCAAGTGCAGGAGGGAGTTCTATTTTAAAGCTTTGATCATTCTTTCATGATGGATTTTCACATTGTTTTGGATTCTTAAAGATAGTGCGCTAAAGTCATTTGTCTTGATTACTGAGTTGTTTGAAGGCGAATGCCTTACTCATTTCAACCTACACTGGGCAGTGCTCCGGAGCTCTGCCAGTGAAACCAGAGGAAATTGGGCAAAACAGCAGGGCCGGGACAGTTAGCATGCCCCAGATCCCTGTGTGCAAATACAGTTCAGCAGAGCTCCGCAGGAAGCGGGAGTTGACCTAGGAGAGTCCAAAGGACTGGGCTGGGGGTGTGGAAGCGACTTTGGCCAGAAGTCAGACATAGAGGTTGAACCCAGAGGGTTAAGAGGTTTAAAAAAAGTTAAGAACTACGTTGACATTTGACTTCCTGACCCCCCCCCCACCAAGCAAAGTGCTCTTGAGATGAATAGATTCTGGAGTCCACAAACGTTTAGAGGAATCAGTACACATAGATGGACAGCCATTGTGTCATAGAGCAAGTACTCACTAAGCTCCTTAATCCTGGAAGTGGGTAACCATTTGCTACACATGTCCTTAAAAGTGTGAGCATGTGTCCTCAGGTTCAGAACAAGAGCAGATAGTGTAATTGTAAATTCCACATCTAAATAATCATAACAGTGTTCATAGAAATAAGGATAACAGGCCGGGCGTGGTGGTGCACGCCTGTAATCCCAGCACTCGGGAGGCTGAGGCAGGAAGATCGCTGTGAGTTCCAGACCAGCCTGGGCTACATAATTCCAGGTCAGCCTCAACTACATAGTGAGACCCTGTCTCAAAAAAGAGAAAGAAATAAGGATAACTGTTGAAAACAGCAACTGCAGCTGAACCTTATTCCCAAAGCCAAGATGCCAGCAGGCCTGTGCACACCAAAGGCGACATTTTCCTATTGGGCCCTCCCTGCCTTCTCCAGCTCTGCCTGCCAGCAGATCAGATTCTAGGGTTTCTCCAGGATCATTAGGCCCTTCTACAAGTGCGCTTTGAAATATGCTAGTCTTTGAAGAACCTCAGCAGTCCAAAGCAATGGGCACAAATGTCAGGTGTTCAAAGGAGCAATTTTGGATCCAGCTCTGTTGATATTGAGGGAAATCCATTTTCAAAGCCACAGTTACTTTTCTCTTTCTGGTGAGAGAAATAGTAGCTAAAGCAAAATCCAATAGAGGGTTTTATTTGGAGGGAAGTGGTTTTTATAATGCACTTCAAAATACAATTAAAAACAGCTCTAGGCCGGGGATTTAGCTCAATGTTTCCGCCGCCTACTTCACAAGCACAAGGTCCCAAGTTCGATACCCAGTACCAAAAACAAACAAACAAATAAAATAAAATAAATTCTACTTTGAACTCTTGACATTTTGATGAATGCATTTGAATTCAAACACTAATTACTCCTTGATAGACCTCACCATCCCTCATGCACCTCTTTTCTGGTCCCTTTGAGCATGATGCCCTTACTGTATTCTATTGCAGAATGCTTACCATTTCAAGTACTTCCATGTTTATGGTTTTGTCGGATTTCTTTTGTTCAACCAAAAAATATGATAAAATAATTATGTAGAATTTGTCACTTGGCATACTTTGGGTGACTAAATGTAATTTTATTGAAGATAAAATGTAAGATGGATCATTTAAAACAACTTCGTGACACAACTTGGCATTTTGCTAACTCAACCATGATCTAAAGCTCGCCTACTTGCCCATTGCCACATATATACTGTAAAAAGCCAGACATGAGGGATGGGGATTTAGCTCAGTGGTTCTGCTGCCTGCTTCACAAGCACAAGGTCCCCAACTTCAATTCCCCGTACACCCACACACACAAAAATTGAGTTGTTGAATTTAAGGGCCAGGGATTTAGCTCAGTGGTTCCAGTGCCTGCCTTGCAAGCACAAGGACCTGAGTTCGATCCCCAGTACCAAAAAACAAACAAACAAAAAACAGACATTCTTAAAAGTGTCAAGGTCAGGGGCAGCCCACTTTATGGTCCTCCTTCTGTGTCTCTTAGACAGAAGCTTTCTTTCTCTCAATAATTTTTCCTACTCTTGACCTCCGTTGTCCCTAGAATTCATTCTTCAATTTTAGAGAACATGAACTTCGTTTCAGATATCTAGCAGGTTCGGGAGTTACATCTCTTCCCCCTATATCATATTGGAGGTCTTCCACTGAGATTACTGGTTGGAGGTAACAGTTTTCTTTCATAGGTTCTAACTTTGGTCTTTTTGTTTCATAGATTGTAACTTGTTTCATAGGATCTCATTTGTTTCATAGATTCTAGTTTTTGTTTAATAAATTCTGGCCTTTGTTTCAGCTTTTGTTTTAAAAGTGTCTTAATTTTAAGTTGTGTGTTTTAAATGTTTGCAAATTTCTTGTTTTTCCTATGCATTGTGTCTTGTTAAAATTATGTTTCAGCCAGGCATGGGGGTGCACGCCTGTAATCCCAGCACTTGGGAGGCTGAGGCAGGAGGATCATTGTGAGTGGGAGACCAGTCTGGGCTACATAGCTCTGGGTCAGTCTCAACTAAATAATGAGACCCTGTCTCAAAAAACCAAAAAAAATTATGTTTCATTCTTGTTTTGTATGTGTTGCAATTGCACTTAGTTGCTTCAAAATGTTGTAAAATGGGTCTCTTATGAAATCGTCTCAGATAAAGACAGTTCAGGCTTTTATTTGTCCTTTATAGAATTATAAACAAATGGTGGTTACTCTGCCAGCTAGTAATTGTCTTTAGGGCAGCTGCCACTCTCAAAGCAGAGGACAGGTTTCTCCAGTTGCCCACTGGTGAATCCCCACTCCCATTGATGCCAATGGAGGGTGGAACATTGACCAGATGGGCAGTTGGGTTCCTTTTGGAGACAGATCTCTGATTGTATGCAACTAGTGGAAACTGAGGGGACAACTGAGGGGTCATGGCCAGGGCTACTCTCTGGCAGATTCCCAAAGGCCCCTCAGAAGAAACTAGCTCCTGACATCCCATCCAGATAATCAGCAAAAATCTCCACATCTTGTCCCATCTGGACTCCTCTGTGAGGTGAGAGGGGAACTCTGTCAGTGATCATCAGATAACCTCTGTCTCAGAGTGATCTGAAACGATGCCATCAGAGTCCTTTCTTAAGCCTTTGTTAAGAGTTGAGCTACAGGTTTAGACTGCTTTCTCTACTACTAGTAAGACAGACCTCTATACAAATATAAAAACAAATCTTTTGTAGATTAAAAATTACCAAACCTTCTCCCCCTCCTAGGCATGGTCTTCATCATTTATGTGTATAGGGGAGAAAAATGCCTTTTACAATAGGTTATGGACTTGGGAACATTGACTGTGGTCTTATAAAATGCTATATGGTGATTTTTTTGGATGTTTAGCCAGCTTGAACTTTATTTGGACTTTTTCTCTCTGATAGTGAGTTAGAAATTCCCCTTAAACTTTTCTCCAACTTGGGAGTTCATTTGAGAATCCCCCCTGGTCAGACTGCTCCTCCAGCCAGAAAGTCAGACTAAGACAATTTGCAACAACTGTTTTGTCTTACACTAGGACAAACAGCAATCAGTAATTTGCATTTGTGTGTTTTTTTTTTTTTGCATTTCTTTTGTTTGTTTTTGGTACTGGGGATTGAACTCGGGACATTTTGCTTGTGAGGCAGTAGATGGAATCACTGAGCTAAATCTCCTGCCCAACTTGCATTTGTTTACACATTAAGTAGAGTATGGGATTATTTTGGTCAGCCTTTCTCTTCCTTCATATGTGCGAGTAAGAAGTTGATAAAGGTGTCTTTACTATGTAGATTGTGGCTGCTAGGAAAGATCTATGAGTTTCAAATACTTAGTGAATTTAAAATGGACTTTAAAAAAATAGACCTTAAAGGAGTAGCCTTGTCTTGCTGCTAATAAAAGTTTCCTAAGAGACTGGATAGACAACAGAAATTTCTCAGAGCTTTCTCTACCCTAGGGCCCAGGGCAGACTCTGATTTAGCATTTCTGGAGGTGATCACTTTTGCAGAAAAAGTGCCCTAATTTGACTGCTGACCTATTCTCCTCTCTTTCAAGGTACTAGAAAGCAGTGGTTTGAATCTCTTGGTTTGCTAACAGTACTTCTTCTCTAAATATGATTGTCATAGCTGATATCAATTGTAACTTGTGCTTTGAGAGTACCTACTGCAGTAAGGATGTGAGTTACCTGAGGAAGGTAAGATCACACGCTGGTAAAGGATATAGTACAGTCTGGTTTTATTTTCTGGGCCTCTCTCCAGACGGTAGCTACCTACCCTAGAGTGGAACAAACCTTGGGGTATGCCCTAGGAGGCACAGGAATCAAGCAGAGACTTATGGGATGCCATATTTGTTTCTCTTGTTTCATATTAGGAACTCCGTATCTGAACGAATGCAGTAAGGAGCAATTTAGTATTTGTCTACACCTGCGAATGGTATGCCTAACTCCTAAAGCCAAGTACACAGGAAAGTATTATGATGCTATCTCCCAA